CTGCTTCTGCATCTATTGAGATGACCATATGATTTTTAAGTTTGGCTCTGTAGATATGATGTACTGCATTTATTGATTTGCATATGTTGAATCATCCCTGTATTCCTGGAATGAATCTCACTTGGTCATGATGTAGAATCTTCTTGATGATTTGCTGCATTCTGTTTGCTAATATCTTACTGAGGATTTTTATACCTGTGTTCTTTGGGAGACTGGCTTATAGTTCTCTTTTTTGGTTGGCTCTGTCTCTGGTTTTGGTATTAAGGTAATACTTGCCTCCAGGAATGAGTTAGGGAGAACTGATTCACTTTCAATTTTGTTAAACGGTTTTTGGAGTATTGGCATTAAATCTTCACTAAATTTCTCGTAGAATCTAGCAGTGAATCCATTAGGACCTGGGCTTTTCTTCATTGGTAAGTTTTAATTACATTATCAATCTCATTAACTGATATTGGGTTATTTAGACTTTTTATATCTCCTTGCTTTAGTCTTTTTTTGTTTTTGTTTTTTGGTCTTTTTGAGACAAGGTCCTGCTATGCAGTTTATATGCAGTTCAGGCTGGCCTTGAGCTCACTTTGTAGCCCGGCTGGTCTCAAACTCGCAACAGTCCTCCTGCCTCAGCCTCCCAAGTGCTGGGATTACAGGCATGAGCCACCACGCCCGGCTATATTCCTTGCTTTAGCTTTGGCACTTCATACATATGTAGGAATCTGTCCATCTCTTCTGTGTCTTGCACCCTAATAGAGTAAAGGTTTTCAAAACAGGTATTTATGATCTTCTGAATTTTCACAAGATCTGTAGTGATTTCACCCTCTTCATTCACAATGCATGGATTTGAGTCTTTTCCCTTTTTTTGATAAAGTTGCCTAAGAGTTTATTAATTTTACTTATTCTTTCAAACAACCAACTCTTCATTATTCTTTGTATTGTTTTCTTAGTCTCAATTGCATTAACTTTTGCTCTGATCTTTGTAATTTTCCCTCTTGTAAGGGTTTTGGGTTTGTCTTGCTCTTCTTTTTCTAGAAGTTTGAGATGTAACTTTCAGTTGTTTATTTGTGCTTGTTCGTTTTCCTGATGTGAGAATTCACTGCTATAAATTTTTCTCATAGAACTGCTTTCATTGCATTCCATAAATTCCAGTATGTTGTATCTGCATTCTCATTTAGTCATAGCTATTCTTTAATTTTTTCCTTTATTTCATCTGTGACTCACTGGTTGTTCAGGAGGATGTTATTTAATTTCCATGTGTTTATGGAGTTTTATCGTTTCTTTTGCCATTAATTTGCAATTTCAATGTGCTATGGTCAGATAATATGCATGGAATAATTTCAATTCCTTTGCATTTACTTAGCATGTTCTGTGGGCTAGTATATGGTCTATTTAGAGCATCTTCCATGTGCAACTAAAAAGAATATGTATTCTGATGATATTTGGTGAATACTCTGAAAACATCTACTAAGTGCATTTGTTCATAGGTTTGATTCAGTTCTGTTATTTTTTTTTTTTTTTGCTGGTTTTCTGTCTAGTTAATCTGTCTTTTTGTGACAATGGAGTATTGAGGTCTCCTTTTGCAATTGTATTATTGCCTATTTTTCATGTTTATTAATAATTGTCTTATGTAGTTGGGCTCTCCTGTTTTTGGTACATACATACATGGGATTATAATCTCTTCCTCTTGACTTTTCCCCTTAACAAGTATGTAGTGTCCTTCTTTATCTCTTTTGATCATTCTTGGTTTGAAGTTTGCTTGTCTGCAAACAAAACAGCTAACCCCGCTTTTTTGGGGGTGAGGGTTACTGTCACATGGAAGATTGCTTTCCATCCTTTGACTTCCAGTCTATGAATTTCTCTTTGAGTTAAATGTATTTCTTTTGTACAGCATATTGCTGGATCTTGGTTCTTGATCCATTCTGCCAGTCTATATCTTTTGATTGGTGAATTGAGGCCATTTACATTGATGGTTATAACTAATATGTATTGGCTTGTCTTTGTCATGATATTTTTCTGCTGTTGGTTCCACTGCTTTTCTCCTCTATTTAATTGCTTATACCACCTGGTAGTTTCTTTCTGTTGTTGTTCTTGCAATTGTGGACATTTTTATCTCAGTCCAGAATATCTTTCTGTACCCTTTGCAACACTGTTTTGGAGGTCATGATCTACTCAGTTGTTCTTTGTCATGGAAGTATCCTATTTCCCCATTAATTTTGAAAGATAGTTTTGCAGGGTACATCAATCTGTGTTGTAAGTTATTTTCTTTCAGGACTTGAAACATTTCACTCCAAGCTCTTCTTGACTTGAAGGTTTGTGTTGAGAAGTCTACCGTGATTCTAATGGGTTTTCCTTTATAGGTGCTCTATTTCATTTCCCTAATGGCTTTTAATGTTCTGTTCTTGTGCTGATCCTGGAATCCTTATTAATACATGTCTTGGCATAGCTATATTTTGGTTATGGCTGTTTGCTTCATTGATTTGTATGTCAAATTCTTTATCCATGTTTGCAAAGTTTTCTGCCATTATTTCTGTGGAGTGTTTTGTTTTTGGTATTTGTGCTGTTTCTGGCTTTCCCACTGACCCCAATCCATCTTATATTATTCTTCTCTGCTTTGACTTGTAGCTGTTGGACTGATTTCTCATGATCTCTTGCTATTTTTAAGATATTTTTCTTTTTATGTTCACTAGCTGCAATTCTGTCTTCAAGATCTGAAATTCTGTCCTCTCTGTTCAATCTGTTGCATGTACTTTCAGTGGAGGTTTTAATCACTAGATTTTCTGTTTGGATCTGTTTAATAGATTTCATTTCTTTCCTACATTGTGCATTTTTTATTTCCATCATTTGTCTAAGCTCATCTATTCTTTTACTTGTGTCTATTCTAATATCTTTGATTCTAAGCATTATTTCTGTTTGTGCTTGAGAGATTATTTTCGCTGTAGCCTTTTCCACTTGTTTTTTCACTTCTGTTGTTATCATTTCAGGAAATCCCAGTGTTTGACTTCCAATTTCATTTATCTCATTGAGTTCTGGGCTTGTCCTGGGTAGCATGAGGCATCTGGGGTTGCATTTTGCTTCTGTGTCTTGTCATTTTCTACCTTCTTTTTTCTTTTATTTTGTTTTTTATGTTGATGCTTGCCAATTTCTTTTTTTCTTTTCTTTTCTTTTTTTTTTTTTTTTTATCGGTACCAGAGATCGAACTCATGACTGCCTGCTTGCAAGGCAGGTGCTTATGCCGCTGAGCTAAATCCCCAGCCCCAGCCAATTTCTTATGATATATAACTTTATTACTATATTGAAGCTTCTCAAGAGGGAAGGAGATGTTTTTTTCTTCAGGGATGACCTGTAGATGTAGCTGCTTCTTTATAGCTATCCCAAGAACCTACCTTCCTAATTTGTAAAGGATATAAAATTGCTATTTGGCTTAGCTCCCAATCCTTTGGCACTTGGCTATGGAGCTGATTATGAATCCATACGATCACAGTGCTGTCATACACGGAGAAAGCTGTTTATAATATATATGACATCCTGGCTAAAATAGTAGTTAGTAATAACAATAGTTTCAAGTACAGCTTAACAACTGACTAACTATGGTAACCATTAACATGCTACCTCCATTCATAGGAACAGATTATATGGTTATATAATGAAATCAAATATGTACCATGCACTTGTATGCAGTGGTTTTCCCCTTCTGGAGTGATTTTACCCTTGTGCTGTGTAGGTATGGTTAAGATGGGTACGGGACAGGCCAAAGTGATGAATGAGGTCAGATATAGTAGAGTCAAGATTGGAGGTCAAAGGATGATTACCAGAGTTTTGAGAAACTAGAGGACACAGATGAGAAGGAATGAAACAGGATGCAAAGGAATAATCAGAAAGGGCACAATGATAGCTCACTTGAAAGTTTAAATTCAAGAGGTAATTGAGAAAAAAAAGAGAAAGTAGATCAATAGATGGAAACATAAAAGAAAGGTAAGAAACCTAAGCAGTGAGAACAAAGAAGAGAATGACAGTGAAAAAGAAAAAAATTAGAAGAAATAAAGATAAAGGAAACCTGAGACAGTGAGGAAAGAAAGCCATACTCTTCAAACTAATGAAACTGAAAGGGACAGTGTACTTCCTAACTCATTCTGGAGGCTAGCATTACCTTGATTCCACAGCCAGACAAAGACTCAATGAAAAAAGAAAACCAGAGGCCCGTTTCTCTAAGAAACATTGATGTAAAAATCCTCAACAAGATACTGACAAACAGAATACAACACATCATCAGAAGATCATATATCATGACCAAGTAGGCTTTATCACATGGGTGCAAAGATAGTTCAACCTATACAAATCAATAAGTATAATACACCACATAAACAGAAACATGGACAAAAATCACATGATCATCTCAACAGATGCAGGAAAAGCCTTTGACAAAACCCAATGTGCATTCATGATTAAAACTCTGAAGAAATTAGGTATAGAAAGGATCTTACTTTAATCTGACAAAAAGCCATTAAGACAAACCTACTACCAACATCGTATGAAATGGGGAAAAGCTCAAAGTTTTGTCTCTAAAATCAGGAACAAGACAAGATATTCATTATCATCACCCTTGGTCAGTGTAGTACTCAAAACTGAGCCAGATCATTCAGGCAAAAAGAAAGAAAGAAAGAAAGAAAGAAAGAAAGAAAGAAAGAAAGAAAGAAAGAAAGAAAGAAAGAAAGAAAGAAAGAAAGAAAAAAAGAAAGAAAGAAAGAAAGAAAGAAAGAAAGAAAGAAAGAAGAGATACATAGAGTAAAGGAAGTGAAACTATCATTATTTGAAAATGACATGACCCTTTACATAGAAGACCAAAAAGTTTCACCAAAAGATTTCTAGGCCAGGTGTGGTGGTGGATGCCTGTAATCCCAACACTCAAGAGGCTGAAGCAGGAAAATTGTTATGAGTTCGAGGCCAACCTGGGTTAATAGTGAAGCCTTGTCTCAAAAAACAGTAAACAAATAAGTAAGAATCAAAGATCTAGCCTTCTGGTCTTACCACAGGCACTGTTCTTACACTGACTATATAGAAAAAGGAGGAAGAGTAAACCTGCTCCACATATACCTCAGCCCAGGCCTTCTGCCTTATCTGTATTGTGAAGGAGGAAAAAAAAGAATCAAAAATCTAAATGTTAAAACAAAAATTCTTAATCTGATGGAAGATAAAAAAATTGTGAGGACATAAAATAGGTAAGGACTATTTATTTATTCTATTTTTAGTTTTAGTTTTGGTTTTTTGAGACTCCTTTTGTAGAGCCCAGACTGGCCCTGAACTCATGGCAATCCTCCTGCCTCAGTCTCTCAAGTACTAAGATTGTAGGTGTGAGCTACCATATTCAACTCTAAGGAGATTTCAGAAATAACCCCAATTGCACAAGAAATAACATCAAGAATCAACAAATGAGTTATGTCAAATTAAAAAACTTTTGCACAATAAAGGAAACAATAAAGCAAAAAGACAACCAACAGCTTAGGGAAAAATTATGCCAGTATTATTTGCACAGAGGACTAATTTCTTTTTTTTTTTTTTTATTTAAGAGGAAAAAGAGAAAAACACAAAACAAACCAAAGCGGCGTAAGGGTACACGCAATACAGAACTACAAAACAAAACAAAACAAAACAAAACAAAAAACCATAACAGTAAGAAATTACCTGCTAGTAGATTACACACTATTTTCTTGAAAATAGTTCCTCAAATCACAGTATCAAAGAACACAAGGTGGACATTCAAACAGGGAGACTGCAAACAGCTGTGTTCAATGTTCCAAAAACATTGATAAAGTCAGCTATTTAACACCCCCAAACACACTTGCTGTTATATCCGTTAGAGCTCCTTTTCTTTTTTTTTTTTTTCCCCTCTCTTTTTTACAACAAAATTTACACATCTTGGATTTTATTACTCCTTAGTGCTTATTACTTTCTTTGGGGGGGGGGAGAATACAGTCAAATATGGCAAAACAAAGCTGTCAGTCAATACCAAGGATAGACGTAGCACATGGTGTAGAACAGAGTACAAGTTTATCAACAATGGTTATCAACGTTGTCCCTTGTTTCCTTAAAAAGAATTGTCTATCTTATTAGATATTATAAAGTTGGACAAAACAGTAGAGAACAAGACCAATAAAACTTAGGCATTGTAAACATTACAGGACTTCCAAAGAAGACAATAGTCAAACCAGAATGGGTACCTTAGTGAATCTTATTGTCTTCAAAGTAGTTGCCTATGTCTTCAAACTTGATACTATCATATAGAATGGAACAGAGTCTAATCAGTCAAAACAAGATCGTGGGAGTACTACAGGACTTCAAAACAAGTTAATAGGAAATCGAAAAGAGTTACTATTTATATATCCTAATTTTTTTGAATTTTTTCTTTAATTAAGACAAACATAAGAAATGACTAAATAATTTTTTTTGAAACAATAAGGGGGAGATTGAGATAAAACAGGACATAACAATATAACAATAGAGGTCACAGCATGACTGTTTCAATAACCTAGTACTTTACCACCTTATAACCTGACTTAATAGTAGTTACCATAGTGTCTTTTTCCTTGAAATATTTGGGTAAAACTTCATATACTCTAGCTTCAAATATTTTCATATCAAGAAGCCCAGAATAAAGCCTTTCTAATTAATGAGTGAAAACTTTATAAGGCTTCAAGGCCACCTAATGGGGAATCATGATTACCACATATTTTTATATATTTGAATCATTACTTACATTAGGGAAACTATTCGGTATTCACACATGCGAGATTGATTTATTTCACTTATGAGTATGGTCTCAAGCTGTGCCCATTTATTGATAAATATCTCAATGTGATCCTTCTTTATAGCTGAATAATACTCCATTGTATAGAAATACCACAACTTTTTTATCCATTCCTCAGTTGATGGGCACTTGGGTTGTTTCCAAGATCTGGCGATTACAAATTGTGCTGCTATAAACATAGGTGCACATATATCACTGTGGTATGATGCTTTCAGTTCTTCTGGGAATATGCCTAGAAGTGGAATAGCTGGAATAAATGGGATTTCCAGTCCCAACTTTTTGAGAAATCTCCAGACAGATCTCCACAAAGGCTGCACCAGTCTACACTCCCACCAGCAGTGCAGGAGAGTTCCTTTTTCCCCACAGCCTCTCCAGCATTTGTTGTCGGTTTTCTTGATCCTGGCCATTCTTTCAGGGGTGAGATGGTATCTCAGTGTGGTTTTAATTTGCATTTCTCTAATGACCAATGATGATGAGCATTTTTTCATGTATTTATTTGCCATTTGCATTTCTTCATCTGAGAATTGCATATTCATCTCAGATGCCCATTTTTGGATTGGATCTTTGAATTTCGGAGGTCTGAGTTTCTTTAATTCTTTATATGTTTTAGACAAGAGGCCCTTGTCTGAGAGAGAGTTCACTAAAATCTTTTCCCAGTTTGTGGGTTTTCTTTTCACTATGCTGGAGATTTCTTTTGACATGCAGAAACTTTTTAATAAGAAGTGGTCCCAGTTATTGATTCTGGGAAGTATTTCCCGTGCGGTTTGAGTCCTGTTCATGAATTCTTTACCTACTCCTATGTCTCCAAGGTTTCTACCTATTTTGTCTTCCAATAGATTTAGTGTTTCTGTTTTAATATTCAGATCTTTGACCCATTTACATTTTAATTTAGTACATGGTGATAGACATGGGTCTAGCTTTAGTTTTCAGCAAATGGAGAGCCAGTTTTTCCAGCACCATTTATTAAAGAGACTGTCGTTCTTCCAGTGAACCTGCTTGGCTCCTTTATCAAAAATAAGGTGGTTGAGTGTGTTCGTAGTTGTGGTTGTATCTTCTAATCTATTCCACTGATCTTCAGCTCTGTTTTGATTCCAATACCATGTTGATTTTACTACTGTTGCTTTGTAGTATAACTTCAAGTCAGGGATTGTGATGCCTCCTGCTTTGTCTTTGCTGCTTAGAATTGCCTTTGCGATTCTAGGTCTCTTCTGGTTCCAGATGAAATTTAGGAGTGATTTCTCTAGATCTATAAGGTATGTTGATGGTATTTCTATTGGGATTGCATTGAATCTGTATAACAGTTTTGGGAGAATGGCCATTTTCACAATGTTTGTTCTTCCTATCCATGAGCAAGGGATGTCTTTCCATTTTCTGAGATCATCTTCAATTTCCTTTTTCAGTGTATTATAATTTTCACTGTATAAGTCTTTCACTTCTTTCGTAAGAGTAATTCCTAAATATTTCATTTTTTTGCTTGCTAATGTGAATAGTCCAGTTTCTCTTATTTCCCTCTCTGTAATTTTGTTGTTCGTGTATAGGAATGCTATTGATTTCTGAGTATTGATTTTGTATCCAGCCACATTACTGAATTTATTTATTGTATCTAAGAGTATTTCAATGGAGTTTAGGGGGTCTTCTATGTAGAGTATCATGTCATCTGCAAACAATGATAATTTAACTTCTTCTTTTCCTATCTTTACCCCTTTTATTTCTCTTTCTTGCCTAATTGCTCTGGCTAGTACTTCCAGTACTATATTAAATAGGAGTGGTGATAAAGGACATCCTTGTCTTGTACCCGATTTTAAAGTAAAGGCTTTCAATTTTTGGCCATTTAGTATGATGCTGGCTGTTGGTTTGTCATAAATGGCCTTTATTATATTGAGGTAAAGACCATTTATTCCAATTTTCTGTAAAGTTCTTATCATGAATAAGTGTTGGACCTTATCGAAGGCTTTTTCTGCATCTATAGAGATGATCATGTGATTCTTATTTTTGGCTTTATTGATATGGTGGATTACATTTATTGATTTGCGTATGTTGAACCATCCTTGCATTCCTGGGATGAATCCCACCTGGTCATGGTGTATAATCTTCTTGATGATTTGCTGGATCCTATTTGCCAATATTTTATTGAGGATTTTTGCATCTGTGTTCATTAGGGAGATCGGTCTATAGTTCTCTTTTATAGTTGGGTCTTTCTCAGGTTTTGGTACTAGAGTAATATTTGCTTCCAGGAATGACTTAGGAAGGATTGCTTCCCTTTCAATTTCATTGAATAGTTTGAGGAGTGTCGGCATTAGGTCTTCTTTATATTTCTTGTAGAATTCTGCAGTGAATCCATCTGGGCCTGGGCTCTTCTTGGTGGGCAAGGACCCAATTACATTCTCAATTTCATTAGCAGAGATTGGGTTATTCAACAGTTTTATATCCTCTTGATCTAGCTTTGGTACTTCATATGCTTCTAAGAATCTGTCTATTTCTTCTGTGTTATCAAACTTTTGAGAGTAGAGGTTTTCGAAATAGGTGTTGATGATCCTCTGTATTTCTATTGGGTCTGTAGTGATTTCTCCTTTTTCATTTCTTATTGCATGAATTTGAGCTTTTTCTTTCCTTTTTTTAATAAGGTTGGCTAGGGGCTTATCGATTTTATTTATTCTTTCAAAGAACCAACTCTTTGATTCGTTGATTCTTTGGATTGTTTTCTTAGTCTCTATTGCATTGATTTCTGCTCTGATTCTTATAATTTCCTCTCTTCTTTTGGCTTTGGGCTTGACTTGCTCTTCTTTTTCTAGCTGTTTGAGGTGTAGCATCAAGTTATTTACTTGTATTCGTTCTGTTTTCCTGATGTGGGAACCCAGTGCAATAAATTTTCCTCTCAGAACGGCTTTCATTGCATCCCACAGATTCCGGTAAGTTGTATCTGCATTTTCATTTTCTTTTAGGTATTGTTTAATTTCTTCTTTAATTTCTTCTGTGACCCACTGATTACTCAAGAGTGTGTTATTTAGTTTCCATGTGTTTGCGGAATTTTTGCAGTATCCTTTGTCATTAATTTCTAATTTCAGAGCGCTATGATCCGATAATATGCAAGGGATGATTTCAACTCTTTTGCATTTGCTTAAATATGTTCTGTGAGCTAATATATGGTCTATTTTAGAAAATGATCCATGTACTGCTGAGAAGAATGTGTATTCTGATGTTGTTGGGTGGAACATTCTGTATATGTCTATCAAACCCATTTGTTCACAGGTGTGATTCAGTTCTGTTATTTCTTTGCTCATTTTCTGTCTGGTTGATCTGTCCCTTGGTGTCAGTGGTGTATTAAGGTCTCCTGTTAC